GCATATATAATATATATATAGTTAATATTGAAAAAGAAATTCAAAACAATATTATATACTAGTTGTGTTTGAATAACAATTATACCTATTTATTTAAAAAATTTTAGTCTTTTGTAAATTTGAAAATAAAACATAAATAAAGAAAAGACAATTGAAATAACTGGAGCTAAAACTAAAACAAAATTAAATAGAATATAAAATTTGTAAAAATAAAAGTCATATTTTTATAAAAAAGTTATTAACAAATAAAATATTTTCAGATCTTTTTTTTAAAAAATGGCTAATACATAAACAGTCAATATGTAAATTATCTCCAAACTCTTTCACAAAAAAGCTGTTAACAAATGAAATATCTTTGATTTTTTTTTGTAGATATGTTTTTCATTAATACAAATAATAGAATATGGTTGATGTTGTTTATTGTTAGAGTTATAATTATTTGAATTGTTAATTGTAGTTAAAATTCTTAACAATATCATTTTGATATCAAATCAGTATTGAATTTACTATAAGTTTAATATAGTAAGTCACAATCTATATATTAAATTTATTATAATTAGTATCAAGTCAGTACCATTTTGATATTTGGTTTGGAACCCTAATTGTGGTAATGATTGACAATAATATTGTTATTGTTGTTGTACTGAAAAAATCAGTTTGGGCAAATTTAATTTTTGTTTTTATTTTTTTGATAAAATTTGATTGGATGATTGAAAAGCAATAATTATTTGAAAGAGTAAACTGATTTCAGTTTTTTGGAAAAAGATTATGAAAATATTGAAATGATATAGCAAGTGTTGCTATGATAATATTGTATATAAAGATTATATTAAAACAAACAATAGATCCAACAACTTTGTTTAAGTGTTATTTTTGGAAAATGTTTGATTTAGCAAATATAATAATATTAATATAAATAGTTTTTATAATATAACAAGGGTGAGGAGGGATGCAGGAGAACAAAAAAAAAAGAGAACTGCCATGGACTTTTTCTCATGCAACCAAAGGATAAGCAAAACTCCCAAACTTGAGTATATCAATTTTCTTAACATTATCATCAGTGAAAAGACTTTTGTTACATATTGTATGTATAGATTCTGAAGCAGATACATGTAAATTACTTCTTATCTAATAGCTTGGGGGCATAAACCGGAATTTTATCGGGTATTCCTCTCCTGCTAAAGATAATGATAATTTTACAATAACCTCCCCAATTATAAATAGAGCTTTGCAAAGGAGGGTGAAATCAGCCCCTAAACCTGTCTTAAAGATGACAGTTACCCCTTTTCTTTAGCTCCACTTAATATAACAAAATTATAAATCTCTCCCGTTTCCAGGTAAAAACCCTATGGGCATATTGAGTTGAGTGAATATAACATTATACGATATTCTAATAATTAATTCAATACAAATTAATAACTTAAATGTCTTTTTTAAATAAAATACAAGATACTTACCAATTGCTTGCAAACTAAAAACTTTAATCTTAGTTGCGTTTTCTACCGGAGCTCGAAGGTGGTCAAGTAGGATAGCAATCAGGTTCATGATGTCGATATGTATAGATTTTGTTGTATCGTTGACAGCATGTACATGTTGTGATGAAGATGATGACGGCGAACTCGACACTTCTGCGTGGAAAATCACTTTATCATCAAAGACCCGAACGCCTTACAGGATTGGTTAGGAATAATTAAGGAACCGTTGTTGAATGATAAGGTTATAAGGTGGAATTACAAATAAACATTTATTGCGCACCTTTTGCATCGACCTTGACAATGCCAGAATAAGCACGTAATTTTGTTAATTCGATGCAGGTGAATGTGTCTCGATCCAGTCAAAATGTAAATTTCCGAACGCAGATTCGTAAAATTAAATAATGAAGAAACATTTGCACAATGTATTTTCTTTCTCCTATTTTTCTTGATATATTAAGGTGTACATCTACTAGGTTATAGCTAGAATCAAGGAATCAAATCTATTAAGCGTTTAATCATCCGGAGAACGGCAATAAATGGCAAAAAAGAACCCACAAGTCCATTAAAATTTTTTCGCAGTAAAGGCGAAACTTGTTACTTTCATCACCCTTGATTTTTCGCAAAATCTCCACCTAAACCCATCTTCTGATTTCTGTAAATTAATAGCAAAGTTATTACCTTCCACTACAACACTAATTACTGATATCTGTGGAAAACACTTTCAAAACATTGTTGACATAAGAATTTAGAGATTCCGTCCACAAAGAAGGCCTCTGCATAGTAACCTGATTATACTCCAATGACTGCTCCATAGCGTTGAGATATCTAGCATACAATAAATTAATCAAGTTAATTAAGTTCTAAATTAGAAGCATACCGTGAATACGAACTCACTGAATAACTTTCTCGTCAGACATCTGACGCTTATTCGGAATATCAAGGAGAGCACCATTGTTCGGAGATCGGGGTGGAGGTGGTTGTGTTTCTCTCTGAGGTTTTTGACTAATTGTATTGTTTAATGCATTTTCGAAAATGTATCCCTAATCAACCACATAAAGTCGCCGATGACACAAACATTTTGATTACTTTCAAAAAAGAGAAAACCATATTCCAAAAGAAATAAAATAAAACCCACCTCAGCGAGTTCATTATGCTTGCGTTTCCTTCGTAAATGTGTTTCTAATATTTCGCTTTCATGAAAAAACTCGTAACATGCGTTCGAAACGGTCTGTCCTTTCCATGTCTTTGATAGATCCAAGATTGGCT